TCCGTTTCAAAATGCTTTGAAGGGGATAGACTACTTTCTTCAGCAATTGCCAAAGGAAATTGCAGACGCGGCCTGTGTCGAGTTTACAAAGGTTTTGTGTCAAAAGGTTGCCATACATAAGCTAAATAATTCGTAAGAAAATAAGTTTTTTTGCCAAGTCGATGTAGTTGAGGTTATTTCACAAACCATCCGGTCCAATGCTTACTATAAATTGAAAACACGATCACTGAATCGAAATATCTAACAAAGTATCACACATCGACGACTGAGTGGAAGATCGACCTATTTCGGCAACCCGTTCGAAAACGCCCTATCTCACAAATCTTTTCCAGAACGTCCTACTTCAGAATTTGGTTGAAGAATGCGCTATTTCAGAATTCGGTTCAAAAACGCCATAACCCAACATATTTTCATTATATTTTTAGTTGAGATAGGGCATTTTTCAATAAAATTCTGAAATAGGGCATTCTTCAACCATATTCTGAAGTAGGGCGTTCTTGAAAAGATTTCTGAGATAGGGCGTTTTCGTTTCGAACGGGTTGCCGAGATAGCTCGATCTTCCACTCAGCCGTCAATATATACTTTGCAATCCAAGTCTGTAGAAATGCAATTCCGATGGACCCTGTAATAGCCCCGACTATAGAATCTTGCTTTAATTAAAACTAAAGGTAAACAGTTAGTTCAAATAACGTGTAACAATCTTTCGTTTATTGAAAAATTCATACTTCTTTAAAATAGCCACACTACGAGAAATAAAAGATGAACTTTTCTAATTTAAATACAGAGTTTGAAATTTGGATTGGTACGTTTTTTGTTAACCAATGACCTATACTTTTATAAAAACAAATAATTAAAATTAATTTGAAAAAAGTTCAATAGATGCTTATACAAATGCAGCGCTGTTCTGCCATGGAACAGATCCGGACTCCGAGTTAACGTATTCCTTTAAAATATTTCTTATAAACTTTCCATAATCCGTAGCTCTTCCTCGGAACGCAGGCAAATTACTCTGAATAAAGGAGTCACCTAAAATTAATGGCTCCCATTCACCGTGTACCCAGATTCGGTTTGTATCCTCAAAGCCAGAGAAATTATTATCACAATAAGATTGTGATTTTCTTAACAAAAAATTATGTAATAAACAGCAGGCTATAATGATAATTTGAGCACGATCTGGACTACAAAAAAGCACCTTCCGTAAGCAAAGCCATCTTGCACTTAATATACCGAATGCATTTTCTATGCAGCGTCGTGCCCTACTCAGCTCATCCGGCGACAATGGTTTTGCACTGTATGGCTTCATGATTCGTTTACATAATGGGAATGCGTCATCTCCAACCATGAAAAATGGAACTCTTTTACCCATGATCGTAGTATCTGATGGGAATGGACATCTATCGCTTAATATTCTCTCGCCAAATTTTGAATTGTTGAAAATGTTGGAATCGCCTTCGCTACCGTAAGCTCCTACATCAACATAGGTAAATTTATAAACAGCGTCGCAAGTTGCCAGAAGAACCACTGAATAGAATCCCTGAAAAATTATTTTGTGTATAGCTGTATATGCAAACGAAATAAGATACAACTTACTTTGTAATTAAAGAAAACACTTCCACTTTTTCGTGGCGCTTTTATACCAACATGTTTGCCGTCTATAGCAGCCACACAATTTGGGAAGTTCCACACATCGCTAAACCCATCTGGGAATTTCTTTAGATTGTCTTCTGACCACTCTGGTATTTCAGTCTTGAAAGCTTCTACGATTGCGGAACACACTTTCGTTATGATTTTCCCAAAATCCTGCTGGCTTATTCGATAGCAAGATGCTATATGCCGCTGCACATCACCAGAAGCCAGGTACCTGAAAACCATGTTTGCACAATGCTATATGAAAATGTCAACTATATTTAATATCATAAATAACATACTCGAGAACAATAGCAAGTTTG